ATTTTGGGAATAAAAGCCGATAAGAAGCTTTGATTAAATTAACGTGTTTTTAGTTCTGTTAAGCTATTTGTTGATTTAAAATCAAACGTTAAATTTTGATAAAACCATTTATTGGATTTAATTAGGAAACGTATTGTAGTTGAGGAAACAAATTATGACTCTAATATGTTTATAAATAAAATAAAAATATTTGTATAAATAAATAGTAAAAAAATAATTTCAAAGTATTAACAGGTTAACAGAATATAGTAGGGGAAAACAGAATGAATAAAATATTTTTAAGGAAAATTACAAACGATCACATTCTATTAAAATAAACACCCACATGGAAATAACAAACACATGCACAAAAAAAGAAGGTAATGTTATTTTGACATCACTACACTATGGTGTCAAAGGGGCTTTGTTTAAGCCATGTTAAGTTTAATTAACAAACAAAGTGTAACGTCAATAAAAAAAAAAACAAAGCCGAGTTTAGCTCAAATGTCTGGCTACGGTTAAGCTTGTCAGTATGAAAACGCTTTGAAACGGCTATAGAGATTTTGGTGTGTGTTTAACTGTTGCAATATTTATAAAACAAGATTACCAACCGGGGATTATATGCGAGTCAGATTTTATCATGGGTTTAGAAGTTACTTTACATTTTGGAGATGTATCAAAGCTGTAGATCCTATCACACAGTAAAAACTTTGGAGGCTTTATGAATATTTTGTGTAATTTTTAACTCATAGCATGACAATGCGCTTAAATGTCTTTAAATAGACGTTTATATCGTACAAACGAGAAAATATTTAGTTGCAGGAAACTGCGCAAGGGAAATATGCAGTAAATTGAGAATTTCAATGCACTGATAGATGATATGATGTACTAAAACTATTTTTTTACGTTTTTAAACAGCTTTATAAAATACATTAAGATGTGTATGATGGAGACATACGATTAACAACGATGAATTTAGAAACTGACTACATTTTCTACCTCATAACATTGAAACAAAATATTATTCACGTTAAAAACATAGTGAATTGTTTGAATATCATTTCAATTATTCGAAATATTCAGAGATGTTTTCGTTACAACGTATTTACGTAAAAATTCTTCCAAACTTGCATCTTTAGTAAAAGGCATGAACTATACAGTTTAATGCTTGCATAGGAGTGTTTAACTTTATTTTAACCTCTATATTTGAAGTTATTATTAGTAAAAATCGGTTGATGTGCATAATATTTATGTTGTACCCACCTGTATATCGTAATTTAACAACTTCGTTTATTTGTATACCGTTGTAATTGTCTAACATAATTAGATACAATTAATTCATTTTTTTTGTAAAATAATAAACGACGAAACAGATCAAAAGGGTGGATTTAATATTTTATTCAGCATTGCCTCCAAGATTGATTTAAGACAATATAAAATAAGATTACGTACGTCGTCAATCCTAGTATAGTCTCAGGCGAATAGTTTCTAAACAGACGTTTCATTTTCAAGCCTTGTCGTCTAAAATTATTTGAACATGATGCCGTCGTCAAAATACACAAATATACCAACACACGGATACATTAACTTAACAAACAACTGATTTAATATATCTTTAATCAACGAGGGCGAATTTTCCAACCAAACTATAAACTCCACACCCTTGCGCTAAAATTTACGATGAATAACCAATGAGTGTTTCACAATATTCGGACATGTCAGCAGGTTATACATTTGATATCATAGAGGCTGTGAGGGGGGAGGGGGGAAGGCAGGTATTAGTCTGGAGCTGGGGGAATCTCCCGTCCTGACAGTCTGGAAATAATTAATAACAGGTGATGCCGTCGGAACGGTCGGCATTCTGCTTCTGCCTTACCCCGCCCTGTATCTCACTGTCTGTAGGCCGACGATCGATGGGGAAACTGTATAGGAACTGAGTATAGAGAAAATGTTACTTTTAAAACACTTGTGATGCTTTTTAGTGTCCTTCCTTCACACTTTAGGACGCTAGAACCTAAAGTGGTTGCGGAACCGTTTTACAAACACTTCAGGCATACAGGGTCGTGAAATGATTAAAATATAAAAACCATTACCTATGACGGGGATTGAACCCGAGACCTCAAAAACCAAAGCACACAACCACTAGACCAGTTTTCTCCCACGGAATTTTAAGTAAGGGTAGTAGCCATCTGGGTAGGTGAGTACTCATAGTGTTAGTCTAGTACCTAACTATATAGCAGCCTTCCTGGTAAAGAGGAGCTTCGATAGTTCAAAACTGAACCTAACCGTAAAGGTACATACAGTACAACCAATAAATGTATTTACCAGATGGATTCATTTTTATAAAAGGGACGCTGAATATTATACAAAATTACTTAACTGTAGAGTAAGGTTGGGGAGCGTAATTCGTGTAAGATTGAGCTTACGTATTAAATGGTCCTGGCTAAATAAACGGTCTTAGTGCAGTTACAGGGCAACAAAAATAATTTTGACATATTCTAAAGACACAGCTGTAAACACTTTGGATCTAATTGAATGCCGTAATTTGATGTGAAAACGTCTCTATTTCAAACCTCCCAAATCGGTAAATGCAAATAAAACTGTGTTGTTGTGCTTTTTTTGCTACGTTATTTTGCAAGGACCAGTTTAAGTATTTTATTGCATTGTAAAATATAGGATGAATAAAAATGTCCACACATGTCAAGTAAAATAGAAATCGTCCAGTGTTAATCTCAGTGAAATACAATGTAAATATTGTATTTTATTATTATAACTACACTAATAGTTATAACGATTAGTAGAACTAATCAATTTGCAACAAAAGTCATCCCTTACCTTCATTCAAACCGTAATACATTGAGAAATAAAACCGCGACCTAATATAAAATACATTGCTGTAGAATAACCAATTACATAGCGAACCCGACTAACCATGCATAATAGAGAAGTAGGTTGCCCGGCGGGACTTAAAAACCGTAACTTGATTACTCAAATGAACAGAACGACTGGGGGGAGGGGGTGTATAAGCACCAACATTTGTTGTAATTTCCAAGATCAACAAGGCTAGAACTGGCGCGTGGAGTCTGAGCTGTGATATTACTGCAGCGATGAAACTTTAACTGTAGGATAATGTGGTTGAGTTGTGGGTATATTGTGGCTGAGATGTGGTTAGAGTGGCAGTTGGATATAGAAAATGCGATTTTTGAAGTGGGTAAATAATTATTTACATTGATCACATTTTTATAGAATATTTATACATGGTAAGCTTTTCATAGGTTTTCGACAGCCAAAAAGTTAAATTATTAATGTTTTTGTGTAGTGGTGTTATAAAAAAATTGCTACCAGGATAACGGGATGATTTATCATGAGGATATATTTTAAGAGTTCTTAATAAAACTAAATTGGAATTTTACGTTATGGTGGATGTATATTCAACATTAATTAAGTTTGCGGAAAATCACCTATATTTAGTATGTTTAAAATATATTTGTCTTACTATATAATTGCTATTCTGTTGTATCATTGATCTAGGTAGGGGTTACAAGACAAACTAATTCCGAAAGAAATAAAAAGCAAAACCACCGATTGTGCAGAAAAAAATTCCGAATCCAATCTTCTGAAATATTTTTACGACGAGGACCATATGTTCGTCACAACCAAACGTAGTTCTTCATATTGAAATTGAAACTGACAAAGTTAATTACTTATTAATTTGAACAACAAAATCGCTCAAAAATGTTATGAATAACAAATTTTATCATCACAACATCGGCAACGTCAAAACACCATTATTTAAAACGATGAACAATACATCAAAGGAAGAGAACAAAAATTCTCCCGTGAGTCCAAAACAAAACACGGTGTACAAATTGGACGATATCTTTTGTCATCGCTGCCTAAACGCTCATGGTCCATGCAGTATTTGGACGGTTCGGACGCTCTTCTCCTGGGACTCAGCAAGCCTTAATCTGGGAGCTCCGCTTGAATATTTCAACTTTGCGAATCCCCAAACAGTCAATTATTCACCAAACTGTTGTCCATGATCACAGGATGAGGGGACATATCAACAGTCTTGTTCTTGTAGGTACTTTTGTTACTTTCCATTATTATTTATGTCAATGCTATTAAGTAGGCCTACAGTAATTTGTTTTAATTCCGGCTTAGTACAGACATAACATCATACAAGAGAAAAACCTAAGAAAAAATTAATTGAAGTGGTTTTGTACATTTGAGAACGTCACAACTTCAAAAACTGAATCCCATAAAAGTATGATCATGTTTGATTAAATAAATGTCAATTCCTTAAATCATGTTTAAATTGAGTACACAGTGCTAACCTAAAAGGGGAATTTGTATAGTACAGACATTTGATTTAAGTTGAGTGTAAATATAATCTTATACGATAATCATTCGTATTAATTTAGTGAAAGCAGTTCTCCCGTAATACAAACGAGTTCTAAATTATCTTATTTCTTTTGTTTTCTAGAAAGGTGGTACTACTACAGGTTAAAGTTGAAACTACCGAACCGCAGCTGTATCTTATAGCTAACAACTAATTGGTGACTGGCAAGATGTTAACGTTAGTTTTCAGATCAGAACACCCGCGCTCTAACCACTAGAAAAACTCTGCATCTATTAATATTTTTAAGGGAATATGTATAGGCTATTCATGAAAGAATGTCCATTGCATATTAGGGTCTTTTAATTTGGGATGTTGGCAATTCTTCAAATGAAATAAGAGCATAAGGTGTTACTGGAAGATATTGACTATGGTGTTTAAATGTACACAGTATGGTAAGTTACTTGTATGCTATGATGTTTACTTACTTGGTAGAGAACCTCTAGTGTGATGGGGTACATCATATGTTCGATATGACCCTGACACAGTATGGTGAGTTACTTGTATGTTATGGTGTTTACTTACTTGGTAGAGGACCTCTAGTGTGATGGGGTACATCATATGTTCGATATGACCCTGACACAGTATGGTGAGTTACTTGTATGTTATGGTGTTTACTTACTTGGTAGAGGACCTCTAGTGTGATGGGGTACATCATATGTTCGATGATGACCCTGAGTACAGTGTTAGGCCCGCCCTGGGTGTCGGTTTGGCCGGAGAGAGCTTGGGCGGCTTGTAGTGCGGCCTGGGCTGACGCGTTCTGTAACAAAAAACAACTTGTCAAAAACCACTCAATTGGTACCATTGAGGGAATTTGTATTGTCTATGTCCTAAAATCAATCATGAAACACATGCAATATGGCAAGGACTTAATTTAGCCTTAAATGATTACATTGACACTTCCACCTTATTTATGTGATATCATTTGCGAAATTGTTTAGCTACTTAAAAATCCGTTATATATTACGATTGCAAGTTATAAAAGAAAAAAATATAAGTTTGCAGCAAACATATACATTTAAAATTTTAGTCAAATTGCTGGATAACCAACTGAAGGCGAGAGGCATGATAAAGGAACTCGGATGCTTTACTTTAGAAGTTTTTGCAAAGGTATCTTTGGAAAGTTAAGAGTTGTTTGCGATGGAAGGTAAGACACTTCTAGAGAGACGACCGTGCCGTGGGGGGAAGGGGTAATTAGAAATTAGAGTGACAATTCGCTAGGCCGACCCACCGCTTATAAATAATGAGATGAAGCCAAATCTGTCGGTGATGCGGCTTCAGGGCACAAGTCTTAACGAAGGAATTTGCTGATGACGATTAGGGTATTTAGAAACATTAGTACCGTGGTTGAAAATAAGTTATACTAAAAAGATATTGTAAAACCTATAGAATAGTTATGATGTTAGATGAGTAGTAGACCGTTGTTCCAGGTATACAAGAGTAGAATAATAAACATCCAAAGAGCTTGAATTTTATGTTCGGCAAAAAAATGTAATGCTCTTACTAAGTACCGAAAGTAAGTGTAGCCTACAAATAATCAAAACAATTTTTTACTACACCCCACTAGGAGCCGTACAAAAAAACATGAATTACGAATCGAATTCCTTTCCAATGTTTTCAACTGAAATACGGTAGACAAATTTTCAAACTTCGAAAAAATCCCAATTAAATTACTTTGGATTCTTCACTTGATAAAAAGCTAAGCTGTTAGGTACAACAGCAAATTAAAATTAATCACATGCTAAAACTTAGATACACCACCTAACGATTGACTTGATATATATTTTTTTAATTATTTCGCATTTTACACAAACAACTTATAGTATAAACAAGCACCTGGTGTATAAACTGTGGTTTCCATGGGAACATCAATGCAGTAATGAGAGGCGAGCAGGTATTAGAGGAGGGCTTAGGACAAAGTATCAATTTGGGGCATCAACTGGGTTCAATAATCAATGCGTTAGTTTCTTGCCAACTACGCTCGTATACTTTGAGTAAGCTCGGAAACGCTTTCACTGGGAGGGGAAAGTTTCAGTTCAGTTTCGTAAATGTCTCTCATCTACTTCCACTTTGGCGTTCCGATGATGAATTAAAATTTAAAATTCATCCAGGGACGTGAAGTTAATAATTCTCGACGAACTGATGCACTCTCCGTTAGCTATTATTAAATCATACAGCATAACTCACTTTATCTCCAGACAGTGCTTTGTTCAGTTTAAATTTACCGGATAACGTAGAGTGACACTAACGTATTTCGAGTAACTGGATGTATTACAATTTACTACTAATACCCTTTGACAAAAGTGTAAACCGGATGATATTCCCTTGGATGCGACTTTTTAATTTGGATAAACTTCTTGTCACTTTTGACGTTCTCTTTGCCGTTTTCACAATTAAAACATCACGGGGAGTTTCGGTCAAGATTAATTAATAGCGATTATTTTTTAATTGTTCAAACGCCAATTTTAATTGTTTTTCACTCGTGTTAAATGGCGAAACACTTACGTCATTGGATGATCTTTAATTTCCCTCAAGCGAGTATTGTCAGTTTCCAGTCAAAGTGATATTTAATTAAAGTCCAACCCCTTTGGTGACCAACACCCGAGAACATGTAATTACTATGGTGTATACAAGCAGTATTGCTTACAACCTGCAATTAGTTGCGGCTAGTAAGACGACCAGCTTCCATGAATAGATATCTGTAACTCAAAACAACCCGAATCCGTGGCACTAATTTAAATTCTTTCTCGAATTAAGTGTTGACTAATTACCAACCTTCTATAGTAGTACATCGAGCGAGCTTTTTAAGATTGATTTGGTTTGAGGCACTGTATTTTACCAATAGAGACGTTAAATCTTACTAAATATCAACCGATGCTTACATTTAAGATTTCCTTGTGACTCCTAACGGGCCGTCCCCCTGAGGAGGTAGCGTACTGAATATGTGTTAAAGTGATTTTGATGCCCAGTAACTTCGTGCCAAGTTTTGTAGCTATATCTGTATTATTTCTTGAAAATGTTTAACTGTCCCTGGCATATTCTCCACTTTGTATATTTGGTAACATATTAACTATTAGGCCTACCACATATATTATTCTATACAATTATTCGTTATTTACAAAGTCAGAAACATTGATCCCTCCCTGTTGTACCCTGACAAACGAAGAGTAACATGGGACCAATATAAAGTCTTCATAGAGGTGTAGCGAGCGGCGGGACCCAGGTGTGGCTAAGTATAATCACGCCACACATCACATTGTGACGACAACGTAAAACTTCCCCATCTTACAGCTCAATCAATTCCTCATGTGTCTTCCGACCGAGCAGAGTGGAGTAACGGTGTGGAATGTAAAAAAAATATTTGAAAATATTTTCTCGTAATAACATTTACTGTTAGTGTAACTTAAATGTACACTACCTGTAATCCCGATTACATAATGGGAGTTCTAGTAAACTTCACTAATTCATACTTGTAGAGATCATTTGAAATTCCCATAGAGAATAATCCGAAATATTATCGTTTTGACAAGCAACTTCATCCTGGATGGATTCTGGAACTAATGGATGGTATTTAAAAACGCGTACGCAGATTTTTTACAGGGTAGATCAAATTTGATATCAGAAAACCCTGAGATTAAAGAGTAATCAATGTCTAGGTACTCGTGATGTGATTAGTACCTAGTTAGAATGTACTAAAAGCGAGTTTCATTTCACTTGTACCTTTTTGTCATCATAACTTATTATTTTTTGCTAAAATCAACACATTATGTTATGTTCATAAGGCCACAAGCACTATGGTAAAAAAGTTCTACTCTTCTTTGAATTATACTTTTAAGTTCTCAATAAATGTTTAATGCAACGACCCTGTAACACCTGCATTTGGCAAAGTATATCTCACCATGTCGAGTTCATCCGCTTCTCGAAACTAGTTTTAGTAGTTTATTGATGCGTTTGGAAATCTAAATTGGAAGCGATCTCTAATTTGATACAGTAAAAGTTAAAACATTTCAAGATGATAACGTTATTTACAAAATTCAATAAATTTCGCAATTTTACACATTTATACTTAACATTTCCGCCAATCATAGGTGATAGGTGGACATGATGCACGATTGATATTTTAGTTTTCATGGCACAACCCTCGTACAGGATTCACAGTATTCACAGCGCCATATGCAACAGCCGTAAACCCAAGTCCCACATTATAAATTGATAGTACCGAGATGGCTGGGGCTTTACGGTGGTTTCAGAAGTGATGGAGAGGTGATTAAACCGCCATCACCTCCTCCAGCCATCACAGCAGAATCAGCTGATAGCAGAACACTACTAAAACACCGGGGTGTATTTAATATCAAGCACAGTTCAATTAGGTACCGAGAGCACATAGAGTTAAATTACCAGGCTTAGCATTGAAGAAACAATCAGTTCTTAAGACAGTTTGCTAGCATGGGTATGCCAAATATTTATATTTTATATAAAATATCACTTTGTTAATTTTCAAACAACAAAAATATATTAGTCCCTAGGTATTTAAAAGTAACAAAAGTTTTTGCATTTTATTAAACCATTTACAAAAATTGATCTTCTTGAAAAAGCTGTTTAAAAAATCTGAATGAAAATATTCACGAATAATATTGTGAACGATATTACAGGTGAAAAATACGTAAAATGTTTTGACTGTTTAGCCGAAACCTATTATTGTACCTAGTGTGTTCATAAAGAGATTCAAATACATTACTGTTCTAAGGGTATTATTGTACTGATTATTAATAGTTAATAGCGAACGGCTAGGTTTTAGACTAGCCATCGAAACAGAACAACCATTTTCGGATTGTTATTTTTAAAATTTCTAATTTCGTCGTAGCATTCGATAGTTTTGCTGACGCCATCGCTTTGGCGTTTTGGTAGGTTTGTCAAGAAACGCTATTTTTATAAAAGGTTTAGTAAAATACAAAAGAACTTTAATGGAATGATACTCACGTGCATTAAATCATAGTCATTTTAATACTTAAAAAACATTTGTAAAGTGAATGTTAAAAGAAAATTGATTCATGCCCAAGCTCAATTAGTATTTAATAGTTTTAACGAGTCGCATAACCATCTGTCCGTTAAACATTCTGCGACGCCAAAGTTGGTGTTTTAATTCTAATGTTGTTTCAAGAGGGTGGGAGGAGATACTGAAAAGAAGTTTATCCGAATTAAAAGTTGTTTCGGGTTTTAATTAAGGAGGATGAAGCCAGCTTCAGTTATCGTCAAAGGGATTTTCATCACGGTTTCTTTTTTATTTGTCTGCCACTGCACTCGTCTTACCTAGTCATTTGCACAGACATAAATATTTTACATTATTGTTGTGTTTAAATAGTTTAGGTTATTTCTTGACTCATACCATTGACTTTATATCTACACGTGTAGATATGAAGTCAATGCTCATACTGAGCAAGTTATCATTTCTATTAGTTTTATTGATAGGTGGTCGTAAGGTAGATGCCAAACCAAACAGTCAAATCGGTCATATACGATTAGCACGATTAGTAATCAACGGAATTTACACCCGGCCCTTTAGGCTTAGAGCTCAAAGTTAAAATTACAAGGCCAGACCACCTACGAAAACAACTTTCTCCCTACACATTTTATAATATAAATTAAAAAAGCAAAATATTATGTTCCCTAATACAAAACTCAACACAGAATGCAGAAGTTTAATTTTTGGGAGAATAATGTAAAATATTGACGAGAAAATGAAACACCACTTAAGGAATG